GATGCTGCCATTTTTCTGCCACTGCTTCTCACCATCTCTCTCCCCATTGGGTGGCTTAATTCTCTGTCTCCTAGGTCTAGAAAATTCCCTGTACAAGTTTCCTGGATTCAAAGAACTGTCTGCATTCCCCTCTTTTCTACATTTTGCCTTTCAGCTCTTTGTGTGTGAGGTAGGGCAGAAAGACTGAGGCTCCCCTCAGCGGGGTTGCTTTTCTTTTCTTTGCCTTAGCTCACACCCACAAAGCTCCGGTGCATTTTATTTACCTTGTTAGCAACCTGTCCAGTTCTTGTGGTCAGATCCTAAGTGGAGCAGCACAGCAGGCTGCGATTTCAGAGACCCAAACCCGCCAAACATTCCATGGAAAAAATACTGGCCGTAAAGGTACAAAGCCGTGGGGCTTGATGGAGCCTTGCTGTTGGTTGAACTTGACTTCACAGCGTTGGTGGCTTTCATTCATTTGATGAGACTTACATAACTTGGGTAGTAACAGGTGACAGAAACATTTAGACCCTCCCTCAGCGTCAGCACCTCTGTGGGACCCAACTCGGAAGCTGGAGTGAGGACACAAGAGCAAACATTTCAGTCAAGGATTTATTTATTCCTAATTACCGTGACTGGGACACTGGGACGTTGGGTCATTCGTGAGAAAACTTCCAGTACAATACAGCGGCCTGACTCTGGATTCCAGCCAGAATGTGACAAACGTGGGTTTGTTCCTTAGTTGGAATCAGAGTTTATACAGTTCTAGGAGAATTCTTAAAGGAAAATAAATAAAATGATAAGTACAAAACTAAGTAAGATAATGAAAATTTACATAGAATAAAAAACTACTCCTCTTACAAGAGGGTAGAAATCATAACTTTACAAAATATCAAATACACCATTTTAACCAAATGCTTAACATTATTTGTAATGATTTTTCTATGTATTTGTCTATTAGTGATTTTCTACTCATATGGTGACATTTACTATCAAGAATAGTAACAGATCATTTTATATGCCAATATTTATTGGATTTATTTAAAATATTGATAGGTAGGAGCCTGAATCCTGTAAGTTTACAACCAATTTGCAGTTTCTAATCAGCCATTTAACTGTAGCAGTAGAACATGAAGCCTAAGAGGTTATATTTTGCACATTTCCACCCAAAATTAAAAATCTGCTGGTGTTTATGTAGCACAAGCTGCTGCTCAAGCAGGTTCCCAGGAGGTGAGAACTTCTGTGAGGTCTTACGGTCAGTGAAGCAGAACTGTCCACATCTCGCACATCCGGGAATTGGGAGAATTATCCTGGACTGGATCCTGGCTCCAACAGTTCCAGTCTAGTTCCTGTCCCACTATTATCCACGTATTTCCAGAGACAAGCACGAACAGGCATAGAGCATGTTCACATCTTTTAACAGTGTCCAGTTCTGCAATTTCCTGTGGGCCAGGTGAGCTGACCAATTGGGCAGTGGAGACATTCCTGGAAGCCACTCCTCTACTGAGATGACCAGGGGGAGAAAGCCTTAAACTTAATGAAGAAGCGAATGCTAAATATACCCCACTAACCCTAATCACAAGAATCTCCAATTCCGTTTCTCCTTAGCCTTATCTTCAAAAACATGATCCCACACCAGTGCCACCAGACCTAAAGTGGGTTAGACGGAAGAACTGCTGACGTAAAAAGAAGCCAGGGGTAGTAATCAGTGATCAGTGTATCATTTTATAAACATTGTAGGAACATACCTGTGTGGACAGCTTCCAAGACTCTACCTTCTATACACAAGTGAGGGGCTCTGTGTTGACCACGACCCCCTGAGGACAGAAGAACCCTTTGTCCCCAGTGCTCTACATCAGATAATCACTTTGTCACTGACCATGGAAGAGAGGTATCAAAGCACATAAATGTTGTATTCAAAGGATGTAGAATAAATCTTAGCCCTTCCATTCCCCAGCTGTGTGCCCTGGACCAAACATTTAAATGCCTTGAGGCTCAGGGCAGAAGGCAGAACTCAGATGTGAGTTCCAGGAGACTCTAGGCCACAATACCCAGGAGTGGCTGCCCACAGCAACATTCCCAGGCTGTGCTGTTGGTGTGCTGTGGGGTTGTTGTTGTTGTTGTTGTTATGTGCCATCGAGTCGTTTCCGACTCATAGCGATCCTATGCACAACAGCTCTAAACCCTGCTCTATCCTGCGCCAACCGCACCGCCTCTGACACACCCATCCCGATCACCCCAGTCTGGGGTAATAAGTCATAATATGTCATAAATGACTGGCGTGCTTTCCTCTATCTTTCTGAGCATCTGATCTGTATCTAAGCTGACTTCAAGCCATCATCTTTCTGGAGGAAATGAAAATTGTCTCAGAAGAATACACAGAGAGAGAGAGTTAGACTTACACATCCTCTGACATGATGAGTAGGTTTGTACATCAAGACACTGGCCATACAGCCTTCAATTTTGATAGCTGATTCCTCGCTTCTTGTCTGAGTTTCTTATGGGAGCTGTAACGGGTACTAGGAATTGATGGGCTACCAATTGAGACGTTACACTAAACAGATGCAGTCTTGAACGGATCCCCTCACAACCCGGCCAAGGATTTAGAAGACAATTATCTGGTAAACTAACTGGAAGAAATCCATATTGATATCCATTCTTTAAAAAAAAAAAAAAAGAGGGAGATCCAGCAGAACGTGGAAGTTATTGAACAATGACATCAACCATCATCCTAAAAAATTGGCAATGACATCATATGCAAATAAAATCTTGTTGAAGATTATGAAAACATTATTGGAATAATACATCAACAGGGCGGTGGCTGTGGTTAGATGCTGTGGAGTTGTCTGTGACTCATAGAGACACTAAGAACAAGAATACTGCCCTATCCTGCACCATCGATGAGGAGGGGCCGGACAAGAAAGCTAGATCCAGGAGAGGACATGGGGCAAGGAATAGCATTGCTGATGACAGACGAGTCTTGGCTGAAAGCAGAGAATGCCAGAAAAGTGTTTTCTTAATGCCTTATTAGTCAATTCAAAGGCGTTTGAGGATATCTTCATGAATTATGGCTAACATTAAAAAAATGAGAATTCAAGAACACTTACTAGTATCCAAGAGAAACCTGTACCCAGATCAAGAAGCAGTAGCTTGAACAGAGCAAGGAGATAATGCACAGTTTAAAATCCAGATGTGTAGATCAGTGTTGTATCTGTTCTTCAGAGAAATTCAATCTTTTTGCTGAAGAAAAATTGGAGAATCTGGACTATATGATGAGGAATGTGGCATCAGGTTTGGAGAATATTCACCAACAACCAAACTTAATGCAGATGATACAAACTTGCTTCCGTAAAGTGGGCATTTAAAGCACTTACTGCAGAAGATCAAAGACTAGAACCTTTAATATGGGTAACATCTCAACACCAAGAAAAGTCTCACCACTGGACCAATAAGCAACATCACGTCAGCTGGAGAAAGATGAAAGTTGTAAACACCTTTACTTTACTTGGGTCTATAATCCACACCTACGATAGCAACATTCAAAAAAATCATAAGGTGTGAGCTTTGGGGAAAATCCACCGGTAAGGACCTCTCTAAAATTCTAGAGCAGATGTCAGCTTAAAGACCCACGTGTTCCCCACACAAGCCATGATATTTTCAGTAGATTCATATATACGCAAAAGTTGGGTGGTGAGTACAGAAGACTAAAGAAGAATTGATGCCTTTGAATTGTGTTGTCGGGGAGCAGTACTGAATATCTATGGACTGACAAACAAACAAACAAACAAATAAACATGTCTCAGAGGAAGAGTATCCGGGATGCTTCTTAGAGAGGAGGATGATAAAAGCTCATTCCTACACTTTGAATGTGTTCTCAGGAGGCAAGAGTCCTTGCAAAATGATATTCCTGGTGGGGAAGAGAGGGTGTCAGACAAAGAGAGAAGACCCTCAGTTAGATAGATTGACATGGTAACTGCAGCAATGTTCTGGAACATGGCAGAGACAGTGATGGGGGCACAGGCTGGGACAAGATTGCTGTTCGTAGGGTCTCTCTGACTTGTAGTCAGTTTGATGGCAACTAACAGTTGCAAGCTAGACTAGAATAGCACATGCAGCCGAGACTCGCCTTCTGAGTAAACACAAAAGAGGATGCAAGATTCAAGCCGTTAATGCACTCAGCTGCGCCCCAAAGGATGGAGTTTCAACTTCACCCAGAAACACGTGGGAAGAATGTCTGAGGATCCACTTCTGAACAAGCAGCCACGGGTAACTCTGTGAGTGCTGGTATCCTGTTTCATTTAGAGGGTTTTCTTCAACCACAGCCAACTTGACAGCAACTGGTCCTGGAAACTGGAAGATCCACTATAAAGACTGCAATTATATTTCATTTGTAAATACAATTGGCATGATAAGGTCCAGGTTGCAAGTCCTGTGTGGAGGTGGGCATTGGTGAGAATAGTAGAAAAATTACTCCATCATGGCAGTTGCCCCAAAGTGTTCGACCTGGGTATCGTGACAAGGTCAGGCTGAGGAAATAACTCATCCTACGCTAATCCTGATACAGGCCATGGTCTTTGCAATCACTTGTTATACATCAGAGAGTTGGACAATGACTAGGGAGGATAGAAGGAGAATTGACGCCTTTGAGCTGTGGTGCTGGAGAAGAGTATTGAATGTACCTTGGACTGCCAAGAAAACAAATAGATCCATCCTAGAGAGGGTTAAACCAGCCTACTCCTTGGAGGCAAGAATTCTGGGGCTTCGTCTGACATACTTTGGACAGGTTGCAAGGAGAGACAGGTCCTTGGAGAGGGACATCATGCTTGGGAGGGTGGAGGGACAGCGCAGGAGGGGAAGACCCTCTATGAGGTGGATTGATTCAGTGACTGGGATAATTGGGATGGGTGTGTCAGAGGCAGTGCGGTTGGCGCAGGACAGAGCAGGGTTTAGGGCTGTTGTACATAGGGTCGCTATGAGTCGCGAACGACTCGACGGCACATAACAACAACAACAACAACATGCTAATCCAGGGCTGGGATCACCTGGGCAGAAACTACAGAGGGCTGGCTCTCGGATCCCACCTCATTGGTATTTGTGGAGGAGGCTCCTTTGCTCCCCACCTCTGGGTCCTCCTGCAATATCCTGCTGAGTAAGGCTCTCAAGGACTCGGGAAAGCGGCTATTCTTCCATCTGCCCACCAGGAAGTAAACGAAGGGATTGGCACTGCTGCCGATGGAGGAGGTGAATTGTGTGAAGTGGCAAAACAGAACACATACGTAAGAGCTTATCTGCAGCCTGTGGGTGATGGTCCAGAAGATGCCCAGGGGCAGCGAGCAGACCACAAACACCAGGACTGAGATCAGGATGATCACACACAGCCTGGAGGATCGCCGGCGCCACTGCGGGGGTCTTCTCTGGGTGTAGACGAAGAGGACCACGCTGGAGAGGATCATAACAGGGGTCAAGATGCCCAGAAGGACAATGCCCAGGAAGGTGTCTGAGCTGGAGCAGTGCTGAATATAAATGTCACAGAATAAAATGTCCAGTGTGACTATCACAAGCGCCAGCCCCCAGAGCAGGCTGCACACCACGGTGGACAGGTGTTGGGGCCTGTGGACTTTGTACCAGATGGGGAAGAGGACAGAGAGGCAGCGCTGGACACTGATGGTCATCAGCAGGCCCAGGTCCATCGTGTATGCCAAGTAGAGTATCGTTCTCACCACCACCAGAAATGTGTGGGATTGCGTGGTCTGGGAGATGTCTTCTTGAAATTGTATAATGTCTAAGCAAAGGAGGAGAAGGAAGTCAGCCACCGCCAGGTTGAGGATGTAGACAGCGAAGGGGTTCCTCCGCACGTGGAAGGCCAACAGCCAGACCACCACAGCGTTGCCCAGCATGCCACACCCACAGGTAAAGATGGTCAGGACCTTGAGTACAAGGTAGGCTATGTCCCAAGCGTCCGTCCTGGTGCCGTTAGGGGTCCGCACTGGGGTCTCACAATTGTGCAGAGTCCAGTTCATCTCTGTGGAAGGAAAGTGGACCAAAATGAACGCTAGAGTTGCACAGAACAGACTGTTTCCGGATCCGCCTGCCCTGTTTTCCCCTTTATGACTGTAGCAGGTTCTTTCAGCAACAGATCATGACGAGGAGGAGGCCTTATACCATCTCCACGCCCAGAGCTGAACCCAGCATCCCTCAGACCTGCAGTGATGAATTTGAAATTATTGAAGACACCTTTCCTTTATCAAGTGACATGAAATCTTCTCTTTTTAGTTTTTTATTGTTCCTCATATTATGAAGAATTGTTGACTTTATCAAATGCTTTCTTTAATGTTCATCACTATTACTTTTTCTTCTGTAATTTTAAAATATTATTATTATTCCTGAGTATTTTCTTTTTATGAGATTCTTGGTTCAAAAAAAAGAGAATTAATGATACCCCTGAACTTAGGAAACACCCTGATTATCAATCCATCAGAAACTTCTCATTGAGGTTGTCCCCTTTGCCTCAACCTCCACTTCGTTTATTCTCCCCACAACTGGCATCGATTTGGACCTGATCTTAATAATAGATTGTTGATAACTGATTTAGACTTATATCAAACTCATGCCGATTTTATGAATTAGATCACTTTGGGTAAAGTTGAGTACCATGGTAAAAGCATCAGAGGAGAGTTGTCTGACCTCCTTTAACTTCTCATTGGGAGGGCACTTCTCAGCATGGGTGGCTACCCAAAGGTCAGACAGGTCTCCCATCACCAACAGTGTGAGCCTGTTCTGACACAAGCCATCCCTCCAGGGCACTCTATACTTCTCCATCTGGTTCAGCACTTTTTGCAAGGGTCACACAGGACTATAGTTCATAAAGTCATGGAGTGTATTAAACAAGTAGCACCTAACGGTTCAGGTTCAAAGAACACTCGGGATACGGTTCTTCTGTCAAGAACGTCTCTTTCAGCCATGCCCTTGGGGCAGGCCTCTCCATGTTCCTCTGTTCTCCTGAGGGAACTCAGATTGGTCAGGCCTCTGCCCTGAACAATATCATTATAACTGTAAAGATCTTTAAAATAAGGAGGCTAAAGATAGTGTTGGAAAGTTCTTTCAGGTCTGCTGACAAATGAGAGGTGACCAGACCTCCATCAGACCACCTGGAAGTAAGGAAATTGATAGCTCTTTCTCCTTCTCCTTATTGTGTTCAATGTGAGGATCAAGGTGTGGGGAATTGTGTTTGTGAGACTCTGAACTCCAGTCCATCTCCTGGGAAAGAAGTGAGACATCTGGGCTTGATGATGGCTTCACAAGTGTCCATTACAGGTGTGTGAACTTGAGGAAATCTCCCAGGTCACATTTCCTTTTTTTTTTTTTTTTAAATTGGTAAGTAGTAGCCTAGTGGCAAGAAGCTGTGCTGCAATCCCAAAGGCATGTGGTTCGAATGCGCCAGCTGCTCCATGTGAAAAGGATGGGCAATCTCCTCCCATGCAATTAACTGCCTCTGAAAACCCACTGGAGGGCCAGCTATGGGTCAGTTCTGACTCGACAGAACACAACAACAACAAAATGCATATTATTCATGTTCATTGTGTTTCATCCATGCACATAGTGGTTCTTTGTTCGTGTGTCTTTCACGCTTTTCTTCACTGACACTATGTTTCATACAATCTTCCCATACATCGTGTTTTATATAATTAATCACCATTAGACTATTAACTCATCTTTTCGGGTCCCCACCAGATCTCTCCTTCACCTCCTTCCTCCACTCACCAAATTGTGCAAATCTATGATTTTCCCCCTACCCATCCTCACCCCTCTGCTCCCGTCCCTTCCCCCCTGGGAAGCCTGTATACTTTTTACTGGTTCTTCTATATTTACAATAATGGTCTTATGTAGTGTTTTTCCTTATGAGACTGAGTGAGTTCACTCAGAATACTGCTTTCCAGTCTCTCCCAAGTTATGTAATATTTTTCAAAGTCATTGCTCCTGAGTGCTGTGGAATATTCCATCAGGTACCACAGTTTCTCAATTTATTTGGTTCTGAGTGGACATTTGGGCTGTTTCCATGTTCTTGGAATAACCATGTTCATGATGAAAAATGCTGCTATGGACACCGGTGTAGAAACCTCCACTTGCGTCTCAGTTCTAATTTCCTTGGGGCATATTCTTAGCAGTGGAGTAACTGGGTCATACAGTGTTCAGCTTTTTGAGGAAATGCCAATTAAACCTACTAACAGTGTATGAGAGTTCCAATCTTTCCACATCCTTTCCAACATTTATTGCTTCTGTCCTGTTAAACTTTGCCACTGCTACAGGTGGGAAATTGTATCTCACTGTGGTTTTGATTTGCATCTCTCTTATTGCCAATGATTTGGAGCATTCCTTCATGTGTTTGTTGGCCATCCATACGCATTTACTTTTAAGATTCTGTTTTATATTCTTTACTGGATTTCTAGATAAACCTCTTCATCAGAAAAATTCATAATATCTTAACATTTCATCTCAACTTCTTATCTATAATTTATTGGTCCATGATACACACAGTGGAGTGTCTTTGTATAGTCAATAGAAAACAAGTTCTTTTTCTGGAATTCTCTGCTATCATCTCTGCTATAGGATATGTAGTCTCTCCTTCCACAGCCTACTCTGAATCCAGCTTGTGTTTCTAGAAGATTCCTGTCAATTCACTGTTCAATCTATTTTTAAATAAACATCAGCAAGACTTTACTTGCATGCGAAATTACTGGCATACATTGATAATTTTGGCACTTTGAAGGATCACCTTACTTCAGAATGGGAACAAGTATGAATCTTTTCCAGTCAGCTGATCATATAGTTGTTGTTGTTATGTGCCATCAAGTTGCCTGTGACTCACAGCAACCCTATGTACAATAGCTCGAAGCCTGCCCTGTCATGAGCCAGTCTCACTGACTCTGACCACCTATTTCCATGACCCCAGTTACTGTATCAATCAATCTTACCTGAGGTCTTCATCTCCTGTGCTGCCCCTCCACCCTTCCGAGCATTATGTCCTTCACCAAGGACAGATCTGTCCTGGCCACATGCCCAAAGTATGCAAGACAGAGCTTCAAAATCCTACCCTCCAAGGAGAAAATTGGTTTCACCCTCTCCAAAACAGACCTATTTGTTTTCTTGGTGGTCCGTGGTATGTTCAAGACTCTTCTACAGCACCGCAACTCAAAGACATCAGTTCTTTTGTCATCCTTAGTCATTGTACAGTTCTCTGATGCACAGCAAGTAACTGCAAAGACCATGGCCGGATCAGGCGCATCTTAGTCTCTAAACTGACATCATTGCTTTGCAGGGCTCTGGAGAGGTCCCTGAGAATAGATTTTCCCAGTGCAATTCATCTTTTGATTTCCTGACTGCTGGTGCCTAGAGTGTTGATTGTGGAGCTGAGCAAGATGTAATTGTTAACAACCCCCGTCTCTTCTACATCTATCACAATGCTGCAAACTGGTCCAGTGGAGAGAATCTCTGTCCTCTTGATGTTGAGCTTCAATCCATATTGAAGACTATAGTCCCTGACCTTCTGCAGCAAACCCTCCTCAGTTTCAGCAAGCAAAGCTGTGTTGTCTGCATAATGTAGGTTGTTGATCTGTCTTCCTCCAACCCTGGTGCCACCCACATTCCACCTCATAAAGCCCAGCTTCCAGAATAATCTGTTCCGCATATAGATTGAAAAGGTGTGGAGACGGGATGCATCTGTGACACACTCCTTTTTTGATTCCGAACCATACAGTGTTTCCCTGTTCTGTTCTGAGGATGGCTTCCTGGTCCCGAGTATAGGTTTCACATGAGCACAATCAAATGTTCTGGGATTCCCATTCTCCTCAAGCTTATCCACAATTTATTGTGATCCACACAGTCAAATGTCTTTGCGTAGTCAATGAAACATAGATAGACATTCCTCTGGTCCCCTTTGCTTTCTGCCAAGATCCATCTGACATTGGTGATAATGTCTCTAGTGCTACGACCTTCTAAATCCAGCTTGTCTTTCTGGTCGTTCTCTGTCAATATACTGTTTCAGTTGTTTCTGGATAATCTTCAGGAGGATTTTGCTTGTGTGAGATACTAGTGGTGGTGATGGCATTGTGTACCACGCAGTCCAAACCAACCATAGCTGACCCTCCAGTGGGTTTTCAGAGACACTTAATTGCATGGAAGGAGTTTACTCATCCTTCTTCCTGGGAGCAGCTGGTGGCCTCAAGCCACGTGCCTTCAGGATTGTAGTGCAGCTTCTTGCCACAGGGCTACTAGAGCTCCCTATGATATTAGTGGTACTGTTTGATAATTTCCACGCTCTATGGGGCCACTTTTAAAAAAAATGGGAATAAATGTAGATCTTTTCCAGTCAGTTGGCCAGGTAGTTGTGCCATAAATTCCAGATTTTTTTGTACAACCTGGTGCGCACATCCAGGGCAGCATCTGTTTGTTGAAATACGTCAGCTGATATTCCATTAATTCCTGAGACCTTATTTTTTGCCAAGTCCTTCAGAGCAGCATGCACTTCCTCCTTCATCAGCGCTGCTTCTTGATCATATATTGTTTCTTGAAAATCTTTTGTGCCAGCCGATTCTTTTTTGGTACAATGACTCTGTATATTCCTTGAATCTTCTTTTAATGCTTCCTGGATCATTCAGTATTCTTCCCCATAGCATCCTTAAGTATTGCAACTCAAGGCTTGAATTTGTTCTTAAGTTCCTTCAGCTCAAGAAATACCAAGTGAATTTGGCCCCTTTGATTTTCCAGCTCCAGCTCCTTGTACATTTCATTATAATACTTTGCTTTGTCTTCCTGAGCCACCTTCCAAATGTCTCGTCAAAGACTAATTACCATGTCCAGGACTACATTTGTTTGATGAAACACATCAACTGGTATTCCATTAATTTCTAGAGACTTCTTTTTTGCCAATGTCTTCAAAGCAGCTTGAATTTTTTTCCTTCATTATC